CCTCCCTCCCCTCCCTTCCCCACTCTCCCCTTCCCTCCATCCTTCCCTCCCTTCCCCACTCTTCCCTTCCCTCTATCCTTACCAGATGACAGGATGGTCAAACGGAGGGATGTACACGAATCCGGGCTGCTCGGCCAGCTTGAGTGTGTGCTGGTTAGAGTCATCCCATACCTGAGGAAAGGGGGAGGGGGGCAACAACAAAGTTACAAACTTAGTGTACACACTAACAGAGCAGTGAGTATAAGCACGTCGGCAGAACATACTGCGCCTGCACGTAAACCCCCTTTTTCGCGGTTTTCGGTGGATTTTTGATCAATGTTGCATCAGAATTTTGCCCGTTGCAGACGATATCTTTTCCAACATAACATTTGGAGACTACAGACGGGGTGTTGATCTTCTATGCTCGAATACAACCTTACACGTGACGTTCTGCCAAAGTGCTATGCACAATATATTATGGATTTCGCACAGGTGCGGTACGTTCTGCCGATGTGCTGTGAGTATATCTTACTCTTAGTCCACACCAATCTTTGTATATTCTGTACATTGTTCTTTAGACATTTATCAGTAGAAATTGCAGCAAGAGGTCAAGATATACATTTTTGTATAAAGTTAAAACTTTTGTTCCAACACAAAAAGTTCTCTCACCTAGAGCTTTCGACCAGTCACTCTGGTCTTCCTCAGTAGACTGACCCAGTGAAGCTTGTCACGTGGCTTCTTTAAAGTGTGATGTCAACACTGGGTCAAAGGTATCTGGTAGACGATGTCGGCCCCGGTCGCGGTTCAGTGAAGGGTGATGGGCCCTGATGTATATGGCTTCCTTCACCCCTCTCAAGAAATATATAGCATTTTTGTTCTTAAATAATATGTTTTTAAGACTTTTGTAAAAAAAAAAGAAGTGTTCTGACCTTCCCCACGACCTCTACGGTGGCGCCCTCCCCCCGAAGCCGCTCCACCGTGAAGGTCGGCGTGCTCTCCGGGACGATGATGGTTGCCGGAACGCCAAGTTTTCTCGCCGAGTACGCGGCCGCAAGCCCGGCGTTCCCGCCTGAACGTTCAACAACGAGTTTTAAAGACAATATGAAACCAATGACAATGAAATACAACAGTTCCTGAAAATAGTCAAAGATGATTAATATTCAATGACGTTTTAGAAGGCCACACTAGTTTGTTTGTTCTGGGATATAGGAAAATAATAAGACTAGGATAAAAACATATTGATGGCTTAGTACCTTTGTAATAATACACAAAGTTTCAGATTTGACTTTTTCCAAGAGAAGGTAACGTTAGGTGTCTGTTTGGCTAATTTCTACTGTTTTTCCCGCAATCTTGAGAGCCTAGGTATAGGCTGTTTTCCTCCCGGCCCTCTTGTTTTCATTTTGACCTCAAGTCAAATTATCCGAGAACCAAGGAAATTAACTGGTGTGACCTGAAAGGAGTGAAAAACTGAAAGTAAACTAAAAGTATTTTAGCAGGCGTTTATAATAATATTCATAATTAACATTACACAAAGAAAGGAAACCAACTTTTATATTTCATTTGGAGAAAAAATATTTGCCTTAGTGTGGCCCGACGGGCACCTGACTAACCTGAGGAGCAGACAAAGTGTTTGGCCCCTTCCTTCAGCGCCTAGTAAACAAACAAACAACAAATAAGAGCACAATGATCATTCAAAATTTTTTGGACAGGTGAATTCAATATCAGGTAACGTAAAAGTAATTAAAAATACATATCTTGTTTGCATATCAATCACTTATTTGCATATCAATCAATAGTTTGACTTTGTGCTTATAAACCTGCATTTCCCCTCTGGTCTCTCAGTCACCGACGAAAGCTAGTGGATACTAGCTGAAATGTTTCCAAAATCATATCCAGTTGCTTCGGAGTAACTGCTTCTTGGCATATCTTATTACCTGAATGGATGTCTAACCTTCATCAATGTAAAAATACATATCTTGATTCAGTTTTTAACAGTTTTTAAGATATGTTTAAAGTTAAAACTTTTGGTCCAACACAAAAAATTCTCTCACCTAGAGCTTTCGACCAGTCACTCAGGTCTTCCTCAGTAGACTGACCCAGTGAGGCTTGTCACGTGGCTTCTTTGAAGTGTGATGTCAACACTGGGTCAAAGGTATCTGGTAGACGATGTCGCCCCCGTCGCGGTTCAATGTAGGGTGATGGGCCCTGATGTATACCAGATACCTTTGACCCAGTGTTGACGTCACACTTCAAAGAAGCCATGTGACAAGCCTCACTGTGTCAGTCTACTGAGGAAGACCAGAGTGACTGGTCGAAAGCTCTAGGTGAGAGAATTTTTTGTGTTGGATCAAAAGTTTTAACTTTAAACATGTAACTACCAACACAAATGAACTTTCATGATTGTTTTCAAGATATTTTATGAGGCCAAAGATTAAGTGAAGGTCATTGTTCAGCTGACCTTCTGACAAAGATGGCTGATGCCGCGGATCTTGAAGGTCGCGGACGGCTGGACGTTCTCCAGCTTGAGGTACACAGTAATCCCAGCATGCTTTGAGAGCGGGTGGCTCTCGAGCAGTGGCGTGTTGATGTACAGCTTGTCCTTGTAGCTCATTGGTCCAGAGGTGCGGCGTGTAACCTGATAGGGCTGTAGAACACGGAAGGTTTACTCAAGGAACTGGAAACTATTTGTACAGACTGAGATATACAGGCATGCCTTCAAATATCAGAGTTATCAACCAAGAATTGAGATGTTCAAAAACTTGTATCTCCCAATAACTCAATAACTATTGTAGACTGGACCTAGTTGCTACTTGTGAGTACTACTGATACAGATACAGATCTCCACTACTGCTAACTCATCGGATATAGTATGTGGATTTTCTTTTTTACACAACCAAAACGTCAGTTCTCTCATCTTGCTTATGTTTCAGTTAATCTGCAAGCAGATCCTAGAGTCTCAAAAATAGAGTATGTATATCCATTTGTCCATGAGTGTCACCCAACTCATGAAAAGGGCAATATATAAAAAGGGCAAAATATAAAAAGGGCAATATATAAAAAGGGCAATATATAAAAAGGGCAATATATAAAAAGGGCAATATATAAAAAGGGCAATATATAAAAAGGGCAAAATATAAAAAGCTAATAAATATGATCAACCAGGTTTGGTAACCAGGCTAATAAAAAAGACCTGTGATATTGATATGATCTGTGTTACTAGTATGCCATAACTTACCTAAGAAGTGCTCCGCCCCCTTTTTAATTGCTCCTGCCGCCACACACGCAAATAGACTTCTCACGTGGCAGAAACTATCCACACTACAGCACAGTACAGGCTTGCAAACTCTGACGTAGTCTACTCTTGAACCGGACACGCAAATACAAAGTAAACAGAAAGGGGAAAACAGTACTAAACGTTACGGGCACTGTAGTAACGTTACTCGTGTCGCTAGAAAATTTAGGTCAGATCAAAAATTATAAGATATTTTTTTGGGCCGAGTCAGGTCTTGTAACATGGGCACAGTAGAGTACAGGCTTGCAAACTCTGACGTAGTCTACTCCTGAACCGGACACGCAAATACAAAGTAAACAGAATGAGGAAAACGTGCTACTAAGGTTAACGTTACACCACTAACGCTAGTGTACCGCTAGAAAAATAGGTCAGCAGATTGACTTTTACACTGTGGACAGCAGTTGTCGGCAAATACGAGCTCCAAATACTTGCCTTCAGAACTCGTAACGTGGCGGTTTCAGCGGTCTCTAACACAGCACAGCAACGTCAGAAACTCCTGGGTATCAGAAATGTCTTCAGAACGATGTAAAAGTTCCTTGAAAGTTGTAGGAGCTTTTAGTTTGCTGTGCTTGCGGTAGAGACCGGCTGTTGGGGTCATCCGGGGGTCAACTGGAGCAGGGAACGAGATCTGCCAACTGTCACGTGATGCAGCTCTCGGTCCCAGAGTGCAAAAGGTCAAAGGTTGCCTGGTACTTTCGAAGATAAATTTTGTTGAAAATTTATCTCTCTATGTCTGCAGAAAAGAATTCAACCCCATAAAATATGTTAAGGTTTGTTTGAGCCTCTGTTAATATTCACAAAATGCATAATTTTCCTTGCCCTCCAAGCAGAGGTTGTGGGGGAATGATCATTATAATAGCTTTTTATATACTAGTAATAAAATACATGCCTAATAGGCTATAGCCCGTTTTATTTATTTTTTTGCTACCCCCACCCACCTTATATTAGGTCGTGCATGAACCCTCTCTGGTCTGTATTTTGCCATCTGCTTGGAGATTACATTTTCCTCTCTTCCTTGTGTATTGTTGCTTTATTTGCAAACCTTGGGTTGCAATAAGGTTAAAAATACTCCAGGTGTTAGAACTTGAGACACGTACCGCAGATTTTGTGGCACGTTAGCATTTATCTGATCCTTTTTGTCTATTACAGATATTATCCATAAGATATCATATCTGTGCCAATATCCTGTGTCAACAGTAAACAGGAGAAAACTCTTCTTGCTAATGTGCATTTGTACTAGTATTTGGCTCTCACTCACACTCACTCACTCACTCACTCACTCACACACACTCACACTCCCTCACCACTCACTCACCCACTCTCACTCACTCTCTCACACACTTTCACTCATTCTCTCACTCACCCACTCTCACTCACTAACACACTCACTCTCACCAACACTCACTCACACACTCTCTTACACCCAAATATTCATTCTGAATGTTGCAGACATTCTTTGTAAGGCCATATCAAATGAATATCTTGGTTCTCTCACTCTGAGCTTCAATGAAAACTATGTGATGAAAGTCTGTGGAATTTTCGTCTCTACTTCTACGTAGATTTTTACTTTAAAATATGTGAACCAAGAAATTCCCTTGACTTGGCCTTCTAGCACAACAAAAACGATGCCAGAATCAACACTTTGTTCTGAAATAACATGTATTTGTCCAAGCACAGAATTAATAGAAGTGGAAACAATCTAGTCAGTGTACAGCGTTCCTAAATACAAACAAATTATGGACAGAACAAGCGATTAAACTTTTGCAGCACAACTCCAATCCAAACACAACACAGACTCCATACAAATCTAGAGACTTCCCATGCCTATGTTTCTCTCACACTTAATTTATAGAATTATTTATAGCTATAGTGTGTTGAATGAGTCAATGTACAATCTTACACGGTATGAACAAGTGCTCCCCCTAGCAGATTTATGCATCATTACAGTTCAGAACAGCGTCAGGGTTGGACAACACACCCACTGATTCCACAATTGTTTTGGCGAAGAAGTCTTCTTCACATTTCATTTGATAATTTTCTTGCATTCCTAACGTCTCTCTGAGGTGTTAGAAGTGCAATTTCATTTTATACCCACACACATGTTTCTGCTGTGCCAAACAAAATCAGGAAAATGTTTTGAGAAAAAAGCTGTCGGAAACAAGACCAAAATCATTCATTTTTGCCAGAGAGAGAGATCAGTAGAGGTAAAATCAGTGTTTCTGCGGATTTTGAAAGTCGGCTTCAAACTTTCTCTAACTACATGTACTTATTTCCCAGCATAGCCAAACTGTACAGTACACTCCTGGCACACCCCCATTTCTAAAGTGGTGCAATCCAAACAGGTTGTTCTGACGACAGAAAACTAGACTTTCCCACTGTGCAACAGGGGGTTGCAGGTTACACTATTGCACCAGAGGTCTGCCGGAGTTGGAAAATAGTGTTGACCAAGACTGGACTGTTACACTTTGACAAAGGGTGGGGGCAGGATAGTGCAGAGACTAGTGGAATGACCTGTCTGTAGTCTGTTGTAGGATAAAAAATATTTGCACCCCTGTACGGAGAAATGGACTAGCCTGCATCCACAGTTGTCAGATGGTAACAGTAGGTGTGAACTATGACCCAGGCCCACTGTTAACCTTTCACCTGGTTGTAAAGTGTGTTGACCTTTACACTTTGACCTCTACAGAGATCTCCAATATGGCTGCTGCAGGTCACCAGAACAAATCATGTAGCAAACAGTTCATATAAAAAAAACACCCCCGCTGTCAAATCAACTGCTCTAAAACAGGATTTCTCTAAACAGACACACAGGGTAAAGCGGTAAGGTCCATTCTATCTGTAGGGGTGCTTGTCAGAGATGAAGCAATGCTGAACTCGCAGCCCACACAAGGCAAATGTTTATTTTCCGTGCGGATGTTTGTATGTTTATTAGTTTATGGCTGTAGTGCTACACTCTGGGGGACCGTAAGCTCCCCGATACGTGAAGAAGAATAAGAACCAAACTTTAATTAAATCCAGATCATGAAAAACACTACACAGGGTAGCCTCCTTCGCAGTCTTGTTGGGCGTGGGCGTAATTTTTTCTCTGAGCGAAGCGAGTAATATGCCGCCGCGAGGGACGATTTGCTGCCGAGGGACTTTTGCCACGGAGAGAAGGTTTCCGCGCTCCAACAAGACTGCTTCCATTCGGCGAGTAGAAAGGGCTATCAAAAAACACTTAGGAGCGATTGGCATGGATGTGTGAACTTCCCGCAATAAACGCCACCAGTGCAGGGTGGTGTTCACGCCCCGTTGCTCGACAAGCCAAAACTTGTAACTTTCTAGCGGTCGCCGATCAACCCGTCGGTAGAACGCCAACCATTCCCGAAAACCCAAAAGAAAACCGAGCCCTATCCACTCAACAAAATCCCGGAGACATTGCTGCTACGAAAAACAACTTTGAAAAGATCACTACCACAGGAACCCGCAAGCTAAACTGTGATATTGCTGGGAGACGTGGACAGATAAACAAGGTGCCGCCATGTTGTTTGGTGGCGGGTTGAGTAACGCACCGCTCCGCAGCAAGTTGCGTAATAGAAAGAATTGCACATTTCACCAGCAAAAATAGTATTGCAAATTGTCTTGGTTTGTTTGCATGGGACGCTTAAATATGCACAGCAATGCCTTTGTTGTAACATTACCAATGTTCACTCTTTCTCTGTTGGAACCTTCGACTATAACGTAACGCAAGCTAATAAAACCAACCGTTGACAAAGGCGAGTGCGTGTCATGCGTATCTCTGAATTACCCTTGCGCGGACATGTGAATTGGACCTGCGCGAACATGTGAATTGGACCTGCACGAACATGTTAATAGCCTCTATGAAAGGCTGGCTTAATCCGAGGTCCTTTCTACTCGCCGAATGGAAGCAGTCTTGTTGGAGCGCGGAAACCTTCTCTCCGTGGCAAAAGTCCCTCGGCAGCAAATCGTCCCTCGCGGCGGCATATTACTCGCTTCGCTCAGAGAAAAAATTACGCCCACGCCCAACAAGACTGCGAAGGAGGCTAACACAGGGCCAGTAACTATTGAAAACTCCACACCACCCCCGTATCTAAAATGGAGGATCCTCAGCTACAGCTAGCGTCAGCACTGATGCAGGCCGTACCATTCCAATCTAGGGTAGGGTCAGGATCGTTTCTTTGGAGGGCAGGGGTCGAGGCGGGAGTTCAAAGGTTACTGGCCGACGCTAGACCTAATCTGCTGCCCTGAAGTATCCCATGATGCCCTGGAGTTCTCCCAGAGTTCACTGCTGCATGATTCCGCCGTTGTAGGCATAGTCGGCCTTGTTGTGCATGATCAGGCTGTTGTCCACGAAGTAGAAGCTGTCCGACTTCGTCTCGTACGGATGGTCGATCATCTCTTGAACTGCAGAGGAGACAAAAAAATTACCGTCATTCACTTTGTCTTTACAGTAGCAACGTTTCACAGTTTAAGGAAAATGGACATGTTCACGGGACTCCATGGAGGTGACATTTGTTGCGTTTTTGTCAGTAACACTTAAGAACTCTCAGAAAAGCAGTTTTATACGCACAAACTATTGGTTGATATGCAAGGACTTACTCTGGTCGGGGGCCAGCTCGGGGAACTCGTATATGTGCTCGCAGGTGTTCTTGCTGTTTGGGATGCAGAAGCCGAAGTTGAAGTCGAAACTCTTGAGAAGTCGTTCCCTGAAGTAGTGTCGCTCGATCATGCGGAACTGGCTCACCGGCTTGTCTCCTACTGTGAACTCCACTCTGCAGGAAACAACAGTTCGCAACAACAGTTTGCAACAGCTGGTCGCAACAAGAGTTTGCAACAGCAGTTTGCAACAAACAACAGGTTGCAACAAAAGTTTGTAACAACAGGTCGCAACAAAAGTTTGCAACAAGAGTTTACAACAGGTCGCAACAAGAGTTTGCAACAGGAGTTTGCAACAACAGGTGGCAACAACAAGTGGCAACAAAAGGTTGTAACAACAGGTCGCAACAAAAAATCGTAACGTGTCGCAACAAAAGTCCATAAGAACATTCTATGCCTAACACTCAAAACTTCTCTATCGTGCAGGAAACAACAGTTTAGATCTAATTTAACATAAGAACACTGAAAAGTATACCCCTGAGGAAACAACAGTACATGTACTTACGTTGCGCCGACTGTTCTGAGCTTGAGAAACTGTGGTGTGAGACAGTACTTACGTTGCGCCGACTGTTCTGAGCTTGAGAAACTGTGGTGTGAGACAGTACTTACGTTGTGCCCACTGTTCTGAGCTTGAGGAACTGTGGTGTGAGACAGTACTTAGGTTGTGCCGACTGTTCTGAGCTTGAGGAACTGTGGTGTGAGACAGTACTTACGTTGCGCCGACTGTTCTGAGCTTGAGGAACTGTGGTGTGAGACAGTACTTACGTTGCGCCGACTGTTCTGAGCTTGAGGAACTGTGGTGTAAACTGGTATCTGACGAACCGACCAGCGTTGGGGTCAATGTCCTCTGCCTCTGCATCTGGTTCGTCGTCTTCTGTACAGAACACAGACATGTACAGGTGAAAAACAGGTAAAAAAACAGGTGAAAAACAGGTGAAAAAACAGGTGAAAAAACAGGTAAAGGTAGTCCCAAAGCCTTTTACAAACTGTAGGGGCAGTGGGTGGTTAGTCCCGTGTCTAGGGCATGGTATGGACCTATAACATTATTACGTCACAGTTTGTTTACCTGTTCTAAAGAACATTCTAGAATGGTCAGTTAAAGAATAAAGATCATTTCAAAGTTTTCAAAGTAAGGTATGTCTGATTTTTGCTGCGTCTAGTTTTGTTGACACAGCATTACATGCCGTAATGGGTGATTTATTTGCGACAGTAGATGAAAGTAGTAGTGTATAAAGGTCTTATATTAGGGCAAACGCACACCGCGCTACGCACCCCTTATCTTATTCTCACAAGAAGGTGGAGTTTTCTTCTTCTTTGGTAAACATGTCAAAACTTCATTTAGTTGAAGACTCGTTGGGGGACACTTGGTTTTGTCAGATTTGTTTGTGGTGTAAGATATGTCTGATACTGTCTGTGTATAATTTTTACCAAATTGTATATTTCATGTCTTCTGATTTTTGATGTCTAATGTTTATTGTTTGACTTGGTTCCGTATTGTTTTGTATTATCATTTCAGGTTTGGGAGGACAACTTGTAAAGGCGTTGATACACCTATTTTGTCCTCCCTTCCACTTGTTTTGCATGTGGTAAATTCAAATAAAGAAATAAGGAAAGAAATATGATTTAAGAGACCCAGCTCCTCAGGGGCGCTACTCCCTGTTCACCACCCTACAGCTGGGAGTACTCATGAGCTTCAGGGGGCACACCCCAGTTTATTTGGCGTTTCTATTCGAATCTGCACACCTTCAAGTCTAGCAACTGTCTCTGCCGTGGAATAGTTCGGAGGGAGAATGTGTGTACATGAGACGAAAGGGTATCTCTTCAGCTACAAGACAAACCTAGTTTGGTTTCTTCCCCGGTTGCAGAAGAACTGAGGTGTGCTCTGATAAATATTGTATCATTCTCACCTGAAGGAGGAGGTTTTGCTGCCTTATTCTCACCTGAAGGGGGAGGTTTTGCTGCCTTATTCTCACCTGAAGGAGGAGGTTTTGCTGCCTTATTCTCACCTGAAGGAGGAGGTTTTGCTGCCTTATTCTCACCTGAAGGAGGAGGTTTTGCTGCCTTATTCTCACCTGAAGGAGGAGGTTTTGCTGCCTTATTCTCACCTGAAGGAGGAGGTTTTGCTATTTCGAACAGAACCGTTCCGGAGTCCATGTCTCTGATCTTGAACCTGGTGAAGTCGATCTGGAACACGTTCGCTTCTGGCTCACACAGGTAGTCTGTAAACAACAGGTAAACAACAGGTAAACAACAGGTAAACAACGGGTAAATAACAGGTAAACACAGGTAGTCTGTAAACAATAGGTAAACAACAGGTAAACAACAGGTAAACAACAGGTAAATAACAGGTAAACAAAGGTAAATAACAGGTAAACACAGGTAGTCTGGAGCAGGTGAGCAATAGGTTCGCTTCTGGCTCACACAGGTAGTCTGGACCAACAGGTAAACAACAGGTGAGCACAGGTAAACACGGGTAAACACAGGTGAACAGGTAAACAACAAGTAAACACAGGTAAGCAACAGGTAAACAACAGGTAAACAACAGGTAAATAACAGGTAAATAACAGGTAAACACAGGTAGTCTAGAGCAACAGGTAAACAACGGGTAAACACAGGTAAACACAGGTAAACACAGGTAGTCTGGAACAACAGGTAAACAACAGATAAACACAGGTAAACACAGGTAGTCTGGAACAACAGGTAAACACAGGTAAAGATGTAATCAACAGGTAAACACAGGTAGTCTGTAAACACGGCTAAACAATAGGTAAACAACAGGTGAGTGTTGCATAAAAATCAGGTGAGCAACAGGAAAACAACTGGTAAACAACAGGTGAACAACAGGTGAGCAAGAAGTAAACAACCCGTAACCACAGGTAAACACATAAACAACAGGTGAGCATTGCGTAAAAAACAAGATAACAACCGCCATTTGCAGCAGTGGCCTGCGAAATGAACACCTGAAATATTTCATTCATTCATAATCGACCTTGAAACATTTCGCTCCTGTGACCTTGAAACGACGGAACAATAGTCCCGCCACAGCTGCAGAGCTAGGCCGGATTAGGTCGCGCACTCAGACAGACATAACCAATCAGCCTCCGCGGGCAGTGTGTTGGTGGTTTCCATGCCAACCGCACGGCCACATTAACGACAGACGGCCTGTTTCGCTGATGAGCCATCTTCTGTAATTATCTCTTAACGAGCTGCCATCGTCTGGGACGAGACAATAATGAAGGTTTTCCGTGGGAAAGGGATTTGCGGAGAGATGTTTATTATTTTTTTATTCATGATATTCGTGAAAAGACTGGTATTTCCCCAGAACTATCGTAGACTGGAACTCGTTGCCACCAAGCACAGTTGGGGCATCATCACTAGAAAGCTGTATCTGTATAGCCGGTACAACCGCCCTTCGGCGTAACACACTGGCTTCGCAGGAACATCTCCTGCAATCAAATGTGCAAAGATTGAGTTTAACATAACAAGTCGTTCGTTGTGATATAGCTAGCTGCCGCCGCGAAGCTGGTGTGTTATGCCGAAGGGCGGCTATACCGGCTATATATAGATACAGAAAGACCTGATTCAAACTGACAAAGGGATTACCCTAAGGGAAGCAGAGACTATTGCCCTTGATACAGCTGGCTGGAGGAAACCTATGAGGGGGAGCAAGGGGCCAGTACCTGGCCTGGGCATGGAGGCAGTAGGCAGGATATTCGTGAAGTCTTTACCCTTGTCCTGCAGATCGAGCCCAACAATTGTTGTTTTGCATCATGCAGTACCACCTATATAGTCTCTTTGGGCCAGGGGGTTTTTCTCGTGCAACGCATCACACCGCAGCAAAACGCAACGAATACGGAAGTAACTATGCCACCGCAGGGCAAAAAAAGTCGGGGATCTATATAGTATGACCTGATTAAGACTTCAAATTATGGAAAAATGTGTCAAAAATGCCAGCAGGACAAGGGTTAAAATCTGAATCATCAAAACTGACTAGCTGGCATCTCAAATCTGTACCCAATATACGTTTTTGGAAGAGTCAGATGTTTCAGAGAGCATGATCCGTTGTTATCTTCCATTGATGACAGCGTGATTGCACTCAGACGCTATCTGAAAAATCTGACTTTTCAAAAAGAGATCAAATCTATCCAGTTGTTTGATTGTTCATGTATTATGTACAAGGATGCCCATCTGTAAACCTGTAGACGGTTCTGTTATTCAGTCAGTCTAGTGAATCTCCCCCTTCTCTGCGCTAATGATCAGTGTCTGAGGACCAGATGTCGTCATGACGATTAAATGGTTGCCAGGGAAACCAAAACAACATTCCCTGGGAGGACCCATGTGGGATACTGCATTAGGTATCATCACGAGAATAACCTGCAATACTAATACTATTTCCAGGGGTTTTTCTAAACAGGGGGAGCTGCTCCCTCATGTAACAAGCCAGGTCCCTCATACCAATTTTCAAATTAAACTCTATCTCTTTCCAGTACAGGTGTGAAAACAATACAACAATGTATTCTAGCATTACAAACTGTGTTACTCTTATTAAAAAATCCCCCCTCGGTCGCTTTGTTCCTTGCCATGCTTGTGATCTGCTCCCTCATGCTAAATTTGTCTAGAAAAATCCCTGCTATTTCTACTGTTTTGTATTTCAAAATAAGGATTCAACAAGAGATTTTCATTTCATCTTCGTTTCTTATTCTTATTTCTCCAGGGCAATGCACGGATGAAATAGAACTTGGAGAATGAAAATGAAATGAAGTGGAGAAAACCTTTCAGGTCCACATGAAATTAGATCTAGAGTAGACTGGGAGGAAAACTCAAACCTGACAACATATTTATTCTCTGGAACTGTGTACCACTTACCAGGGCTGGAAATACACCCAAAATGGGAGCTGTGCACCCAATTATTTCTGTAGGTGCACTGGTGCACCCAAATATTTTGGTACTAGTAGATATTTTTGTACATATTAAACATATAATACTTTCAGGAGATTCTTGGCATCTAAGTGTCAGAAAAATAATAAAATCTTTGTTGTAAGTACTTGTATAAGAATTTGAAGTTAGCTCCCATTTCATATCCAAGCTTAGAGAAGGAGAAGTAAGATCTGTAAATAAGTTTTGTTTTATATGGTGAACCCAAATATTTTTTGTGCACCTAATACATTAGGGGTGGGTACCGGTTCAGAAAATTCAGGTCCAGGTCCGGATCAGGTTCAGAGGATCAGGTCCAGGTCCGGACCTGAACCGGACCTGATTATTGTACAGTAGTATAGTATATCATATTTTGGCAAGCGAGACACAATTTATTCGTGTACACGATACGGCCGTGCATGAGGCCGCTTTTCCCAATGAATAATACGGCTGAAATGCCAACACATCCACAAATAATTTGATCAAATACTTAATTGCTGCGATCTAAAATGTTACAGGGTTCTCTTAGCGGGGGTTGTTTATAATTTGTTTTGATTGGTAAAACGCAGGGTAAAATACGCTAAAAATGTAGCCACGCCGCGGTCCACACTTCCGGGTTAAGTGACGACAAAATCACGTCGAAAACGCTAAAAATCCGCATAGAAGCATATATTTTCCCCAAAGATTCTTGAAACTATGCATTTCTTCACTAGAATATCGATGTGTGGTTGTGGAAAATAGAATTTTAGCGCCGATATCGAACAAAGAAAAGTTGTTTACACGCGCGTCGGCTCGCTCAAGTCTGCCGCTACGCTGCCAGCAGCGGGCGCAACAACCAATCAGAGATGCGAAATGCCGACATGTGACGCGGGATTGCGTCACAATGGGGGAGGGCTCGCCGTGCACGAAATGTTCTTGCGTCAATATTCAGCGCCGTGTTTCAAGAGATTAATACCGGGAAACATTTTTTTCTTGTTTTTGAACGCATAAACATGGATTTAGGCTGATCTAGTATGATTCAGGGTTATTTTTTTTTACCTGCCATGGCCAGATTATCTAAAGTAAAGATGTGTGTGTTGTGTGTACAATCTACAGAAATGTACATCAGGTCCGGTCATCCGGTTTTCACGTTTCGGTTTTTTGGACTCGGTTCTTGAATGTTGTTCCGGTCCAAACCGGTCCGACTGAACCGGTACCCAGCCCTATAATACATGTATTTCAGGTTGGGTGCACCAGAGCACCTATTCCCAAAAATGAATTTCGAGCCCTGTACACAGACTTTCCCTTAGGCCACACCAATTTAATTTCTTGGTTAACGGATTCGCCCGCTTCTTTTTTTTCTGATTTGCAAATGAAAATAAAAATTCAGAATCAACTGCAAAATGCTTATATTTTGCCCTGAACAGTTGAAAACAGTCCTTTTCATCCTAGTTGTTGCAGTTATTCCATCTTTCAATGCAGTGGTATCATTAAAAGTTCAAAATTCGTTGTTTAAATTTTGAGCCAGCCTGGTGTGTTGACTTCATGGCTCCTATCATACCATTTTGGGCCATAATAGGATGCCTAGGCCTGTTTTTATTTTTATTTTTTTCCACCCGCCCGCTCCAATATTTTTCTAGAAAAATCCATTAACCAAGAAATTAAATTGGTGTGGCCTTAGACTGAGTCGTTTTCACATTGATCTTCAGTGCAGCAATTTTTGTCAAATGCAAAAACCAACAAATTGATGTGGTGTGGCCCTGCCTGTGATCAGCTTGTAGTGACCAGATTTGATTTGTTCGAGGTTTACCACCTGATGACTGTTCATTATGACTCCTGTCTGAGGGATTATTGTCGCATTTCAGAAAATGATACTCTGAAAATGAACAGCTTACATTCATAGATTCGTAGATAAGCAAGTAGCAACAAGAAATTGAAGGCTAAGTGGACAAAATCTTAAGTTTGGTAGAACAGAAATCCGCAACTACCCAAACCACTGTCTGTATGCTACTACAACACAACATGCCATTATGTTGTAAAAAGAGGTGTTTGTTTTGGCACCTTCTAATTACACAGGAAATTAGAGCCATAACTTATAAGTACAGTGGCAAAATGTGGTCTTCATATGGATTACAGGGCTCTCCCCAAGCAATGAAGCAAGGGTGCTCCCCCTCTCCCCCAAAATCCTAGCACCTCTCCGAAAATGTTCAAATTCAGGGTTTTCTCTTTTACTATTTCATGAAAATTTCTGGGGAGACCACTGGGATGACTACGTTTCACTTTCAGGGTTATTTTGGTGACAATACAAAACATTGAGTGACAAAACTTCTCATTAACCCACTTTTTGCTGTCCTCATACCTCACTATATTGTTGTATGACATTTTGCTTGACACGTGTTTATAGAAATATAGTTTAGAAACTCTGTAAAAGGCAGCTACATATGGATGTACTGGACTGGAGTGAACAAAACAGTCTGATTAAACCACTTTTTGCTGTCCTTATAATATATATATTTACCTCACTATGCTGTTGTATCATACTATAACATTTTGCTCGATATGTCTATAGTTGATACAGGGTTCCAGCTAGCGCGAAGTAGCGTAGGCCCCCCTACGCTATAATTTTGACCCTCTACGCTAAATTCCCCCCCCCCCAAGCTAATTTTTCAATACAGTGTAGGAGCATTGTGACTGTATTTCTTTGTTCAAGAATGCCAGATCAAATGTGAAAAATTACCAATCAATGATACATCATACATACCTTAGAAATAACATTTTTCCCTTTGGGTTTCCCTCAAATGGCCCGTTTTTAGCTAAATTTTTTTAAAGCTCCGCACCGCACATCCCCCCTTCCGCCCCATCCCCCTCTTCGCTCCCTCAATGTGCACAGTGCCACTACACTACAATCAAATCCTAGCTAGAACCCTGGTTAATAGTTAAGAAACCCTAAAAACTAAAACTCTGTAAAAGACAGCTGTAGTGTATGAATATGATTATGAACAGACTGTAGTGAAGAAAACAGCCAGGCACAGCTGGTCAGGTGTGGGCAAAAGTTGTCTTGGATAATCTCCTGTTAATCCTCTCCATTGCCATGGAAATAGTGGATTAACTCACACAACAATGGGAACACAGGATTTGATTCTGATGACATAGACGCTGTCTAAGTGAATAGAGCCATCAGGTTAAAAATAAGTTGGTTGATAGATCTAATGGTTTACTAACTAACAACAAGAAATATGTTACTTAGGTTTACCTACAAGGGTTTGTAGTAGTTATAGTTTACAGTTGAGGTGTGGGGGGGTGGGGGCAACTAATAAGCTGCCTTCGTCAGGGCTTGACGAACTTGGATTTGTCACAAAAAAGTCATACGGAATGTGCCACAATGTGGCGAGCGGTAGCAGGTTCATTTTGCCACAGTATTAGGCAACAGACCAGACAAGTTGGCAGACTGTTGTGATAAATTGTGGTTGTGGTATTTAAAGGACTTTGAACACCTACAAACCTCCAGGCAGTGAATACAGTGGCAGATAGTATCATACCTTTGATAGGTACATTTAAATTTTCCTTCCATCCCTCTGATTTCATCTAGATTTGTACTTTAAAGCCATATTTACTTGAACCTCAAGTTGAAGCTGTCAGATCTGGGGGTGGGGACTAGCAGAGTTGAGTAGGCCCCTGTTTTGTCTCCCCTCTCTTTAATTTTTGTACATTATCAAGGTAGAAATGAAGAAATAAATAAAAAGAGAACCAAGGAAATAGTACAATGTGGTTTGGGTGAAATTTTGGTAAAATTTCACATTCCTGTATAAGGGTCAATGTCCTAGAGGCCAAGTAGCCATCATGACTTGTCCTTTTCTTTAAGGATCAGCCAAGGGTGTCAAACCAAACAAAGGAGAAATTACGTTTTATCTTAAGTCTCAAGCAACTAGATCACTGCATCCCAGACTCTATGGGATTTTAAAATCATTTTAAAGTTTGTAACATTCTTTTTTTTTTCGAGTGATATCTGATATATCACTGACATAGCAACCGATCCTGACACCTGTTCACTGAGCTGAGTTGTCTGAATTTCAGCAAGTAGCTACGACAAAAAAAACAAGGATTTTTATCAAACAGAAAATGAACTTATTTCGGCCTTTTCTTCAGGAAAACCGCTCGCTTTGGGTTTCATTGCTAAGACGGTGGGAAACTTTCCTAATCTTTCTTCCCAAGCGACAGAAGACCACTTGTAACGGTGGAGAATTCCCTCAACATTCCTGATTCACAGTGTACCATGGCAGAAACGAACGGTTTTTTCTGTACGCCTATCACAAACCGAGAACTACGCTCGCTAACCAGCAGAAGGATCGGCCTTACTTTCTGTGACTTTGGGGAGTTTCAGGACGTCTTCTGGTGAGATGTTCTCCTTCTGGAGTAGTTCCTCTTCGGTGATGTAGTTTTGGTTCTTCTCCGTTTTCTTCTCTTTGGCCAGTCGGCTGATCAGCCCTCCCCCTTTCTTCTTCTCTCTCGGCGCGCTCATATTGCCCTGTAACAGCTACTACAGTCCAAGAACTAACTCACACGCGTCGCAAACAGTCGCAGCCACCAGGTCTCGGGCCTAGAATCGAGCGAGAGGCGCCGCCAACAGACAATTCGGCCCGACTTTTTCCCTCAGAAATGTGAAATGTTGTCCGCACAGACAGCAACAAGATGGACGCCGCCCGCGCACGGACTGATGGGAAATACGTCATTTCCGCCTAGCAGCGGGAAATATGAAAGGATTTGTGTATTATAATAAAAAAATGTCGCTTCTGGGCAAGGATTTATTTCCTGGATCAAAGGATCATCAGTTAAATCGGAAATGCGATAAAATAGCACGATAGAGTCGTTACTTTGAACTACGCCTTGGTCGGAAGGGTATATCCTGCAATCTACAGCTAGACCGCTAGGTGGCAGTTACAAGTGGGGCCAGGTGATTTTTTGTTTACTACTCTCCAAGCAGAGGTTTGGGGTTATTTTTGGCGTGTTTTTAGACTTTTTTTTATCGGGGTTTCTTTTTTGCACTGGAATTTTTCTTTCACCCAACCCAGAGAAATTCCAGTGCAAAAAAGAAACCCCAATAGAAAAGTCTAAAAACACGCCAAAAATAACCCCAAACCCAAACCTCTGCTTGGAGAGTAATGTTTAGTGGCTATATATGAAAAGGGATAAATGATAATAAAATAAAAAAGAATAAATAAACTTAAGAGAACTAAGGTAGACTAACAGATAATTCAGCTATTATCAGGATTCTTATTTCTTGTGCTATCAACATTAAACTGTTTTCTTTCCAAATGAGTTACAAAAGATCTGCCAGGCATACCCCAAAACCAAGGTATTACATTGGTGACGCCCACAGGGTCTATTCCATGGATGTGGTAAAAGAAAATCTTACTTATATACTGGTAATTCATCGAGGCCACACTAATTTAATAAATTGGTTCTCGGATTATCCCACTTAATTTTTCTCTGATTTGTAAAAATAAAAACATTCAGGGTCTAAAAAGTCCTTGCCTTCTTAGTTGTTAGTTTTTTCATCTGTAAGTGCAGATGAAAAGTGTAAAATTCATTGATCATAAACCAGACTGGTATGTGGAATTCATGTCTCTTATTTTAGCACTATGGGTTATCATAGAATGCCTGGGATTTTTCTCATTGTTATCTCATATTTTTCAGAAAAAATCCTAGAACCAGCAAATAAAATTGGTGTGACCTGAACTGTGAAATGATCAGACTGTGCGGGAAGGGTTGGGTTCGGAGTAAATCCAGAGGAAACATCATCCGTTGCTGATTTATTTGGTGAGGAATCTGTCGTCTAGTCTCCAACAGCTCAACTCAGATACCGGAACATACAAAGGACAAAAAACAGCAAGAGTCGGGAGCAGTTTGGGTCTCAGACCAGAGTTCTGCTTTGACTGAGCTTGGCATTTTACAATTACATTTGTTGGTTCTCAGATTTGCCTGTTCGTTTTTTTTATGTTTTGCAAAAAAAAAAAAAAAAAAAA